TTTTTGTGCCATCTACTGATAAAATTCAATAAACAATAAAAGCAAAAGCTCCATATATACATACTTTTACAGAAATCTATTTTTGTCAATATTCTTGCGACATCTCGTTTGACAAAATTTAATAGACAATAAAAAGAAAACCTACAAACACACAATCCTTTACAGAAAATTAAAATTATGAGCTTTACGCGGAAATTCAAATTCAAATATATTACACCACCATTTTATAGTTAGGACGATCAGAATAGGCAAAGTCTGCAATAAATTACACAGGTCTGCGATAAAAAAGTTTTTTGTATAAATTTATCTTAAGCATGTAAATATTGGTCTATAATTTGAAAATATAAACTTTGTTTTAACGTATCACGTCACATTTTTTTTNCTAAGGCTTCTGTAAAAACAATTCAAATGTATTTTTTTACATTTGCGGACAATATACAATAGTTAAGCAAAGATTGAATATAACAGACTTTGTAAAAAATGCTTATTAAGCTTACTTCAGAATGAAGTTGTCACCAAGATAAACACTGGGTTACGATAAAATATGCCGGTTATGTGTTGAAGTGTTAAGACAATGAACTTATGGTAAATCAAAATCATTGTTATTCGGTATTTCTATGTCCAAATTAAAATTCAATTGGAAGTTGGAGTGAAAAATGTCATCAATACGAGTTTGAAAGAAGAAACCACTGGTTTGATCAAACAGTTTGTAAAGGCATTTCGACTTGACCAACGCTGATTATTTCATATTTAGATATCGAGGTCATGATCTATATAGGTTTTAAGCATATAAAAAAATCGTAAGGACACAAAAAATTACTTTTTAAGAAGGAAGTTAATTCAAAAATCACGTTTTTTTTGCTTATTTTCGATCTTTCCATGCTTTAATATTGTCGGAGGTAGTTTTAACTAACACCATCGAAAAGAGCATCGTTAAAAACATAGAAACACTAGTTATCAAATTTTTTTTCGTCGCACTCATTACATGGCAAGGGTTCAAATGGAGATGTGTTCTCTGAGCATTTATGGGTTAATGTGACGTGGTATATACCATATAAATATCGTTTTCTGTTACTTTTAAGACAATTACGACAAATATTAACAATTAAAAAAAAAAACTTTTCAAAAAAAAATTTCGCAGACGTGTGTTATGTGTGAGAATGAACGTATCTTATTCTTTTTTGTTTCCACTTGAGACTGTAGTTATTTGGATCTTCAGATTGTATTGTTACATTCTCCGCCGTCTGTGGTATATTCCATCTGGGACTCGTTGCCCCTCTATGTAGTACTTCCTAACTTCCCATTCGTTCAAATCTTAGCTCATTTTTGTTCTTTTCGTTCTTTCTCAACTTACGCAGGTCATTGTTGGATCAGCTTATGTAGATTGCATGCCCATAAACTTATCGTAGCCAATCCGTAAGCCCACAAATATTATCATATTTTGCTACAACTAATTTGTTGCTCTCCAATGATATATTAACATCTATGCCAAACCGTAAAGTTTCGAAGAAAGATTTAAAAATCAAGTGAAGGACTGTAGGAGTCATCCAGGAGCAGATATAGATAGCGATCATAACTTAGTAGTTATGAACACCAATCTTAAATTGAAAATTCTGAAAAAGAGGGAAGGTAGGAGGCGTCTCGACTCGAAAGCCTAAACGTAACGAAACGCCTGATAGGCTAGGTAAAAGGACAGACGAAATACTAAAGGCGGTGGGAGAAACGAATGACGGGGACATAGAGACAGAATGGAACTGCATTAAAACGTGCCTAAAGTCAGCAGCTACAGATATACTAGGTCTTAAACGAAACGAAAGTAGGAAACCCTGGATAACAAGTGAGATTGTAGGATTAATAGACGAAAGGCGGAAATACAAAAACAGGACAGACCAAGAAGGGAAAAAGAGATGTAAAGCTATAAAGTGGGAAATAATTAGGAAGTGTAGGGCAGCTAGGAACAGTGGATTAATTAGATGTGTAAAGAAGTAGAAGAAAAGTTTGAAGTAGGTAAAACCGATGAGTCGTATAATATAATTAAAAGGAATTTTAGAGAGGATACAGTAGTAATAATATAAGAAACGAGGAAGGTGTCATTTTGTTATAAGATGAGGAAAAGGCACATGGGTAAGGAGATAGATGAGCTTGGTTATCCCATAATGAGAGAAGAGTTCAATGTGGCATTAAGAACATAAAAAATAATAATAGGCCAGGTGTAGATGGGATACAGAGGGAAATTCTAAAACATTTACGAAACGGGGAAAGTCCCAGAGGATTATAAACGCAACGTAGTAGTAACATTACATAAAAAGAGGGTCGCGGATAGGTGCGAGACATTTAGAACAATTGGCTTATCTTCCCATGCGTCAAAAATCTTAACTAGAATTGTACAGAGGGGGATGGCAAAAAGGGCGGAAGAACTATTAGGGAAAGATCAATTTGGGTTTAGAAGAAATAGAGGAATACGGGAGGATATTCTAGCTTTACGGGTAACAATAGAGAAAACGATTGAAAAAGGAAAGAGTGCGTACATAGGATTTGTAGATTTAGAAAAAGCTTTGACAATGTTAAATGGGACAAGATGTTAAATATACATAAAAATGTAGGGATGAGTTACAAAGATAGAAGAGTTATACTTCGTTTGTATAAAGAGCAACAAGCAGTTATAGAGATAGGGCTGCAAGGTAGAGATGTAAATATTAAGATAGTAAATATTAATTTTTTCTGATGATTTGCGGAACTCATTACACAGATGAGATCAGAACATCCCTGGGACAAAAACAATCCGTTGGAATTTCACTTACTTTAGAATCCCATTCAGTTTCTAAAGTAGGACAATGGTGTATGAAATAGTGGGCCAGTTATAAACAAGCAACAAACAGATTATTTTAACAGGCAGTTATAGAACTGGTCAACAACGTAGAGAAGGGAGTCAGACAAGGATGCACACTGTCACCGGTACTTTTTAATCTTTACATCGAAGACGCGATCAACATCATTAAAGACAGTACAACTCTAGGGATAGATATAGAGGTGCAAAAAATTAGTATGCTTAGATTTGCAGATGATATAGCAGTATTAGCATCCAACAAGCAGAACCTAGAGATAGATTTAAATAAAATGGAAGCGGTACTGATAGATCAGTACTGTATGAAAATAAATAAAAGTAAAACTAAAATACTGGTATGCAAGGGAAGAAAAAATAAGAAGAGAGCCAATATAAAGATAGGAGACGAAAAATTGGAAAAAGTGGCTGATTTTAGATATCTAGGAAGTCAGATAAGTCAGGACGGAAGGACTAGTAGGGATATAAAGCAGAAGATAGCGCAGGGTTGTGTCGCCTTTAATAAAAAGAAGACACTTCTATGCTCGCGAACGGTTAAATTAGAAATTCGAAAAAGATTGTTAAAAGTGTATGTTTGGAGCGCGGCGTTGTACTGGTGCGAAATATGGACAGTGGGCGCGGTGGAAAAGGAAAGGTTAGAAGCCTTCGAAATGTAGTGTTATATGTCAGGGATGGCGAACCAATGGCACGCGTGCACACAATATTTTGGGCACGTCACTAATGTTTCTGTCATTGATTCTTTAATCAAGGAATTTTCAGCAAGATTTTCTCACTTCAGAGAATTATCGGAAATACTAATACGAAAGTTTATTATGTACCCTGATGTGACATTTGATAAAATAAATTGAAGAATCTNCGAAAGTTTATTATGTGCCCTGATGTGACATTTGTTAAAATAAATTGAAGAATCTGAAATGCAGCTGATTGATATCTAGTCTAGTTCAATATGATTCAAAAAGTTGTTAGAACAAGGAAAGAGTTACAACTAATTGAAACAGAAAGATCGACGGGTAATGCAAGTGAAAATGCTAATAACAAAATTTTGGAAATAAACAAACACATTTAATTTTTTGAAAAAGCTGGCATATGATATTTTAATAATGTTTTCATCAACCTATGCCTGCGAGTCATTATTTTCAGAGATTAATAACATTAAAAACTCGCAGTTACAAACCGTTTGGTAGATGACGCCAGTTCAGCATCCATTCTGCTAAAATTAACATCCTACAAACCTAACATAAGTTATTTGTCATCTAATCTGCAAAAGCAGAAGTCACACTAATTTTACTTAAATTTAAATTGCACGTATAATTTAAACTTTGCAAAATGTTCCTATTTGCTTGTAGAATTGTGAGTTGGTATTATTTTTTTTCCCAAGAATAACAGAGACAAAACAATTTGATGGCACGTCTATGACCTGATTAAACTTTTCTTTATAAAAATGGCACGAGGTTCGCCATCCCTGTTATAAGTGAATGATGAGGATAACGTGGGTAGAAGAGGTTTGAAATGAAGAGGTATTAGAAAGAATAGGAGAACAAAGGACTCTATGGAAGTCAATAAGAAATTGGCGAGATGGGTCGGGAAGACACCTTTTCAGACACAAAGGCCTAGTCAGAGACATATTAGAGTCAGAAACAGGAGTTAGGAGGGGTAGAGGTAGACCTAGGTTAGATTACTATTCGCAAATAGATAAGGATGTGGGTTGTTCTAATTTTAGGGAAATTCGAAGATTAGCTCAGGATAGGAAAGAGTGGAGATACGTGTCCAACCAATCTTAGGGCTGACGACCTTATGATTGATGATGATGATGATGATAAATTTGGCTAGCGTATTAATGGTTTTTATAGAAAGTAACTATACCGTTTGATTTTTACTTTAGTTTCCTTGAATTGATTATGAAGTATCAACAAGTAAAGCCTTCTACCATTGATTAAATTTAAATAGTTTTTTTATTTTTCTGGTCTACAAAAAAATACAGTCTACAAATATTGAACGGCACAAATGAATACTGCACCAGTCTGTCGATCATGTATATTCTTTCTTTGCATTTAATTCAATAGATATTCTGAAAAAAATCTACAGTCCTAACAAGTAACTGCTTCTACGATCGACAATGCGTAGATTGATGTTTTATGGTTTGATCAGAAAGTCGTGCTTTTTATTTCAAATTTATTTTATTGCATTTACAGTAAGTTCTTCGGTACATTTAGGTATTTCATGCTAATACATATAGGAGACTTAAGATTGTAAAGTGTTCAAGATACTGTTTACGTGATTTAACAGTACTGCGCTATAATTTTTCTGGTTTTTAACGAGCCAACGGTTTACCTTCTGAATAGCCGCATCATCAGTTGTGAAGTCGACATAATGGTCATTTGAATGCCAAACGATATGTGCCTGAAATAGAGAATAATTTTTATAAACTGTTTTTCTATTTTTTTATAATTATTGGCGAGGGTGAGTAGTTCCTATGTCCCTATAAGACGTATGGATAATTAGGATTTAAGATGTAAAAATGATAGGGTTGTTAAGGGAAAAGACTGGTATATAAAACAGGAAAGGATTAGAAAAATAAATAAATTTTATATTGATAGTAGTGAATAATTAGAAGAAAAAGAACATACAGGAGGTGTAGACATAGTTTGTATGAGTGAACTACAGGTGACACACAGTGAGAGTGGAGAAGACATGAAAATGGGAAAGAAGATTCAACTAGGGTAAAGTATGAAAATATAAGGAATTATGGAAGAAAAATTGACCATAATTCTTATGGGAAAAATGGAAGAAGAGTTAAAAGATTCAAGTGTGATAGAAGGAATAAAAAAAAATCGGTTGTCCGTAAAGTCGGTTTACTGACGATAGTTGAACGTGACAACGTCATAAGAAAATACTGGAATGGTTTCATTTTTCAAAAGAAAATTTTAATTTTATTTGTTTGATAGATATTTTGTATGGATATAGAGAAGGAGGTAAATGGAAATGTATTATTGTATAGCAGCTGTCCACGCGGACGCATCGCTCACTCAAGTAGGAGAGAGACAGATGTCGAACGCTGCCGAACGCGGAAGCCGATTGTGCCTCTTTGTCGCTCGTTCCGCGTTCTCGCTTGCACTTCAAACCTTAAATGGAACGCCTCAGAGCGAGGTAACGCCGCATGAGTCACGTTTTTTCGTGCGTGCAGCCGGCTCCATCGAATTATAAAACGTTGTCACGTCAATAAAAGTGATAGAAGAATTGGAGGAGGAGGAAGAAACGGAAGTAAAAAGAGATAAAGAGGTCCTGCACAGACTAAAAGACTTAAGATGAGAGTGTATGGAATGGATGGAAATAGAAAAAAGAAAGCGGCGCAGACTGGAGTGATGAAGATGGTGAATAAATAAATTGGAAAAGATTACATCCTGCAATGTTGGTGGAAAGAAGTTGATGCAACAGGAGAAGAGGATTAATAGTACTTATGGAGAGAGGGAAAGATGAATAGAATAGGATGGAAGTAACGATTGCATAGTATGCAGAGAGCATAAAGCAAAGAGTAAAAACAATTTTGTTAATTATTGTTTCCTTTGGTTTCTTAACTTATGTCAACGTTCGAAAAAATTGTTTTTTAAAGTTTTGCAATGAAATTTTAAGTCACGTTTGATTTAGATTCAGATTTTTTTATACATGGGTAAATGTATTGAACTAACCGAACCACCATCGACATGTGGAAGAACATTCAATTTTCGAAGTCTGAATTTCAGAAGGTAAATCCAGGAGAACTCCACTTTATATTGGATTCCTTTGAATTCGAGCCTGAAAAGAAAAGGAAATATAATAACCTTAGGTGTACCATTCTTAGATTCATGTATCAACTTATTTGTAGTTGATCTTCATATATCCGTATAAAATATAATTATTCGTAAGTTTCTTATACTTGCACTGTCTATAATCATGACGTACAGTATAAATTGCCACTACAGTATTAGGTTACTTATTGATAACGCCACTATAGCTAACGAAACATTATCAGATTAACTATTGTGACACAAATCTGCGGGAAACTGTCAGAGTATATTTTCTACGATGTTAGAAAAAACATCCCTGGAAGAAGCCCTCAAAAAGAAACCCCCGCCACCGGAAAAAATGTCCCCACTATAAAAAGCAAAGTACAAACAGTACCATGTAGTTTTAATAATAATAAGAATTACTGAAAATAAGATAATACTGTTTGAGGTAGAAGCATAATAAGCTTACTACTTCATATCTTATTGTTTTGTAATTGGGTTTTAGTATGAGTGAAATTGGGTCATTTAACATTTATTGGGTTTTCATCCCCGCCATGAGGTTTTCAATTAGTAAATATGTACTGACAACAATTTAAAAACCGGACATCTGTACCTACTCGTTAATCTTAATAAAACTTACTAAAACAAATTATTATTTTCCAAAGCTTTTGAACGTTTCAACTAATTAATAACAATTTTGCTGGGATTTTCTCCAAAGGGACGTTTTTCCCTGGGTTTTTTCTCGGGGAATTTTTTTCCTAAATTCATTTTCAACTGATACGTTATTAAGATACGTAACTGTAAAGCACGCAATCCACCAACAATTAAATAATATAAAATATTTCAGACACTTACTCTAGACTTTTGATCTCAACGTCATTTCCCAATAGTGAGTGAAGGCCTAAATCTTCTCCGGATGCTTTAATAGAATGAAGTGTTACAGTAAAACCAAAGCTGTTTAGCCCAACGTTTACATCACTCAAGCTGTAGTTGGAGAAGCCAGATACATCTAGCTTCTTGGCTTTTACCGATATTCTTAAAAAAAAAGTAAAATAATTGATGATTACTCTGAAAAAGTCACATACAATTAATTGTAGGTAATGTTGAACAGACTAAAAGGGGCGAATGTGTAGTTTACGACACCTTCTAATCACTAAAGTTAACTCCACAAAGTGACTAACTTTCGCAGAACTACAAACTTTTTGATGGATTTGCTAAGGTTATGGTAAGAGAAAGACAACACAAACGTAGTGAGTGTTGTTTTGATCGTGTGTTTATATTGGGGCATTGTAATATTTTGTATTAACTTCGAGAAAGATATCGTAAATAAAAGTGGGCCGGGTTTGGATCTGGTACCCGGCGAATCCGCCACTTTTTCTAGGATCCAGCCGGGTACTTGATAATGACGCCGGGTATTCGGCAGTTAAAGGGGAAAAAAATAACACCACTAATAACAATAATGAGATTATTCCGTAATTGCGGAAGCGGAAGCAGAGGTCTATTGTAACATTAATTTAGGAAATATCTCATCCTAGCAGGAAATTGAATATCAAACTACTGGTTTTCATTCATTTGGATTTTAATATTTACCGAAGGTTTTAAATAAATTTGGTGGTTAATATTACAATTTATCCTCTTACTTCACTTGAATGATGATGAACTGGATAGATGGATAACAGATATGTTTAGCAAGAAAAAAAAAACTATTTATATGGTAATAAGAGCAGTAGGTATTATGAAAATTAAGAAATGTAAAACAAAAATATTAGGAGTATTAAGCAGAGGATAGCGCAGGGTAGAGTCGTCTTCAATAAAAAGAAATCACTTCTATGCTCGCGAACGTCTAATTTAGAAATTCGAAAAAGGTTGTTAAAGGTGTATGTTTGGAGCACGGCACTGTACGGGTGCAAAACATGGAATGTGGTTGCAGTGGAAAAGAAAATGTTCGAAGCGTTCGAAATGTGGCGTTACTGGCGAATGATGAGGATACTGTGGATAGAGAAGGTTACAAATGAAGAGGTATTAGAAAGAATAGGAGAACAGAAGACTCTATGGAAATTAATAAAAAATTGGCAGTTATAGGGACTGCCGATAGAAGTGAAAACTCAGAACTTTTAGTATTAAAATTTGAAATTTCACAATGTTTGAATAAAAATTATCAACGTCAATCTGGTTTTCACATCTATTGACACTCCGAGCAACAATTATATGCATGTTTATATGTTTTTTTATTATTCAAATATTTACGTAAATTCCAATGTACTTGATTTTTAACATTGTTTGCATCATTGTCATCATTAATTTCAACAATACTTAGACATTTTGTACTTTCAATTATTTCATTGTGTTCTAAAGAAGATATAATAGGCTTATGGTAACTAAAGTAAGAAATGAAAACGTTTGATTGTAATTTATCTAAGTATCGCGTAAAAACCGCATCGATCGTCGTAGCTGTATAGCTACAGATATACTACTAGAAGCATGTCGGTGACGCGAACCCATAACATTTTCCCCTGCCAAAAAGTGCCCAACGTCGCTCAAGAAGTTTTCACTTCAAAAAATAGGCGCGGTAGGTTGCTAACACACCTTCTCAGGCATGAAGGTCTAGTCAGAGAAGTTTTAGAGGCAAAAACGGGAGTTAAGAGGAGTAGAGGTTGACCTAGATTAGATTACTGTCCCCAAATAGTTAAGGATGTGGGATGTTCTAATTTTAGGGAAATGCCAAGAGTAGCTTGGAAGAGGAAACAGTAGAGTTGCGTGTTCAATCAGTGTTAGAACTGACGACCTTTTGATGATGATGATTATGAACTCATGTTATTTCTACCTTGAGACCCTTAAAATTTGTGACCTATCCCAAAGGCTTTGAATGTCTCAAGGAAGATTATATAATTTTGGTGATTTGTTTTCATCCTATTTTAGAAAGCGTTCGCGTTTTATAATACACGTAATTTTACAATATGTCTAGGACATTTATACTTACCCAGTAAAACTGCTTTTATTCACATTCGCAACGGAGATTGGATCGAATTTAGCTGCGAAGCCCTTAATGTACTCAATAGACTTGTTTAGGCCTGCTCCAGAGATATTATCAATGATTGAATTCGGAAAACTTATTTCTAGAAGTAAGCAAGATTTTAGTACATGTTATTAGTTTATTAGTAAAAAATTTGGTAAAACAATGTGCTAAAATGGTATCAGTTAATTTTAAAATTTTATTTACCGTTTAATTATTAGAAAATGAAACGAAGAGGAACGTTACACTGCAAATTCAAGTGCGTTATTTCAACCCATAATAAGAGCGTAATTTTTATTAATACACGAAATGTACGTTATTTTTACCTGTAAATGTGTGTAATTTTCTTGACGCCCAACATAGGTGTCAAAACAACTCATTCACTAACCGAACCACCATCGACATGTGGAAGAACATTCAATTTTCGAAGTCTGAATTTCAGAAGGTAAATCCAGGAGAACTCCACTTTATATTGGATTCCTTTGAATTCGAGCCTGAAAAGAAAAGGAAATATAATAACCTTAGGTGTACCATTCTTAGATTCATGTATCAACTTATTTGTAGTTGATCTTCATATATCCGTATAAAATATAATTATTCGTAAGTTTCTTATACTTGCACTGTCTATAATCATGACGTACAGTATAAATTGCCACTACAGTATTAGGTTACTTATTGATAACGCCACTATAGCTAACGAAACATTATCAGATTAACTATTGTGACACAAATCTGCGGGAAACTGTCAGAGTATATTTTCTACGATGTTAGAAAAAACATCCCTGGAAGAAGCCCTCAAAAAGAAACCCCCGCCACCGGAAAAAATGTCCCCACTATAAAAAGCAAAGTACAAACAGTACCATGTAGTTTTAATAATAATAAGAATTACTGAAAATAAGATAATACTGTTTGAGGTAGAAGCATAATAAGCTTACTACTTCATATCTTATTGTTTTGTAATTGGGTTTTAGTATGAGTCAAATTGGGTCATTTAACATTTATTGGGTTTTCATCCCCGCCATGAGGTTTTCAATTAGTAAATATGTACTGACAACAATTTAAAAACCGGACATCTGTACCTACTCGTTAATCTTAATAAAACTTACTAAAACAAATTATTATTTTCCAAAGCTTTTGAACGTTTCAACTAATTAATAACAATTTTGCTGGGATTTTCTCCAAAGGGACGTTTTTCCCTGGGTTTTTTCTCGGGGAATTTTTTTCCTAAATTCATTTTCAACTGATACGTTATTAAGATACGTAACTGTAAAGCACGCAATCCACCAACAATTAAATAATATAAAATATTTCAGACACTTACTCTAGACTTTTGATCTCAACGTCATTTCCCAATAGTGAGTGAAGGCCTAAATCTTCTCCGGATGCTTTAATAGAATGAAGTGTTACAGTAAAACCAAAGCTGTTTAGCCCAACGTTTACATCACTCAAGCTGTAGTTGGAGAAGCCAGATACATCTAGCTTCTTGGCTTTTACCGATATTCTTAAAAAAAAAGTAAAATAATTGATGATTACTCTGAAAAAGTCACATACAATTAATTGTAGGTAATGTTGAACAGACTAAAAGGGGCGAATGTGTAGTTTACGACACCTTCTAATCACTAAAGTTAACTCCACAAAGTGACTAACTTTCGCAGAACTACAAACTTTTTGATGGATTTGCTAAGGTTATGGTAAGAGAAAGACAACACAAACGTAGTGAGTGTTGTTTTGATCGTGTGTTTATATTGGGGCATTGTAATATTTTGTATTAACTTCGAGAAAGATATCGTAAATAAAAGTGGGCCGGGTTTGGATCTGGTACCCGGCGAATCCGCCACTTTTTCTAGGATCCAGCCGGNATACTTTCATGTTTTCAGTTCTATCTAAAAACTCAAATGTAAAATTGAAAGAAATAAATGCTTATTTGAGGTTATATTTCATGATGCTTCTCTAAAATTGACACATTAATAACGCGTTATATTATTATGTTAATGCACCGATAATGACGCACTTGTAGGGGTATTTTAACGCGGATGGAGTGCATTTTGAAATAATTCACTTAAAAATGTGTAAAAAGTGACTACATCCAAATAACACACTTGAGTGAGTTAAAATAACGCATTTAGATTTACAGTGTAATTATTGTATAATACTCAGTGTGCGTACGGTAAAAGACCCAGTTATTGACACTGGCCTAGTTTCTGACAATTTTAGGTTTATGTTGAGTTAAAAAAAAGAAAAGATCTTAAGTGGGTTAATAATTTTTTTAAAAATTAAAATAAATTTATTCTGTACCTAATAATGACAAGCACAATAATAAAAAATAAGAAATCTTAATAAAAAACAATCTTTAAGTGTGAAGTGACGTCGGAAGCCATTTTTTAGTTATGATCTAAGCAAATTACGGAAGCGCGTTCGACGATTCAATCAGTGAAATAATCATTCTGTACCTAATAATGACAAGCACAATAATAAAAAATAAGAAATCTTAATAAAAAACAATCTTTAAGTGTGGAGTGACGTCGGAAGCCATTTTTTAGTTATGGTCTAAGCAAATTACGGAAGCGCGTTCGACGATTCAATCAGTGAAATAATCATTATATAAGTATAAAAATATAATAAAATACATATAAATTGTTTAATAATGAACCATTATTTAGTCTAAAAAATCAATAAATCATATTAAATAAAGCTTTATTAATAAAATATAAGTGTCAATAACTAGGCTCAATTTTATAGGTATGTCGCAGTTATTGACACTCACATTATTACCTCTTACTCAGCAGGACATTTGTTTGTTGACATCCATAAAATGTTTCAAAATTTGTATTTATTATGATTATTATGATTTGATATACTATTTTCTGTAATTACAGCGATAAATATTCATTTAATATTTTTGTGAATAAACTAAACATTATATTCACTGTTATAAATAATTCTTTCAAATACGAAAATGATTGTTGTAAAAGAAATTTCATCTTTGTTAGTGTTAAAATGATTATTACTATGATAATTTTTACTTTCAATTGAATTATAAATTTTATTGATGATACAAATACATATTTTTATTTGTTATTTTCAGGAGTTAATTATTTTTGTTAAAAATAACAATATCTTACTTATAATAAATATTTAATTTATCTTTAATGAATACTTAATTACTTATAGTTTATTTAAACCTGATAATACATAATTTAACCGAGAGAGAACCATCATCAAATGTGTGTCAGAAACTAGGCCGATGGCAGTGTCAGAAACTACAACACAAGAAATTTTAAGTGTCAGAAACTGGGTCTTCAAACATCACTTTTTAAATCATTAATTAAAATTACTAATTCGCTTCAAATAATTATATCGCGTATATGAGTTTTTCTAGAAACTCTGAACTTGTTTATAGAATTAAAATTATTTGTTCTAATGAAATATTATTTTAGTTATCGTAATATAATCTTAGCTGTCACTCTTAGAGTGTCAGAAACTGGGCCTTTTACCTTACGTACTATGTGGGTAACTTCTTTAACGATCTTACCCATTCAAAAAATGAGTTAGGGCGGTGAGACGGATAACCGTCTCAAGTCATAATTTATTTAAGTATAGTATTGTTTAACTATTTCTTAATTATTGATTTATTCACGTTTAAATGCATTATAGTTTTATCTATTTATTAGTATATATTAAATAAATTATCATAAATCATTTAATTATTTTCTAAACTTAATACGAAATTGGTGAAGGCGTCGGGTACGATCCCGGTATCTCTCGATCGTTACTTGAATGTAACTCAGTTAATTCGAAAGTTTATGCGGTATTGAGTTCATCAAAGCATATATCAAATATTCGTTGTAATAGTATTCAATTATTTACATCTAGCAGTTACTTACTTGCGTTAGACAATCCTATGCAAGCGATTAGACAGAGAAACAATATTGTCTTCATTTTTTTGTTTTGATGTTCTTACGAATTGTATAAATTGAGATACCTTACGAAGACTGACTTGTTAACGTGATTATTTCTATTTTATAGTGAAACCTTTATCATTTTGCCAATGTCTGATAGATGAGGAAAGAGTGCGGTACGATTGGAGATGTTTACACAAAACGAGTGTATTGTTGAGACCACTTCACTTAGGTACGCTCATGAAGTGATTATACGAAGAAGTCTACTTGTTATCTGGACTTCATAATTTAATTAACCAGATATGCTCCATTGAGAGCCAAATGCTCTTTACGCTTTGTTTTTCTTCCAAGAACAATACTTGCGTTACTTTCCGTGTTATTGACGAAAAAACTGCCAAGTAAGGAATTTTTTTTAGTTGATACGTTGCTCGCCGAAATGTAATTAATAGATATGAATATAGGTACTTAATATGATCGAATTCGTAATTATCTTTGAGTAGATTATTATAGTTGCATGTAAAAATAAAATCAGAAAAGACGGAAAAAACGGAATATGTAAGGCATTCCATATGGTTATTATTTCTAACTATCATAGCAAATTTAATTAATGTGAAGTGTTTATTTTTGAGCAAAATCTTTTTATTGATATTGCCTAGTTCTAAGAACAGTATTTGCGTTACTTTTTGTATTATTGACGAGTGAAAGTAGCAAATTAGGAAAATTCATCAAACGTATGTAACTCATCCGAACCTTGCCTAAAACATGTAAACTCATTCGATAATCAATTTTTGCTGACTGCTGTAGTACATAAACTCATCCGACCATCCCATTCGACTGCTCAGGTGAAAAATATATAATAAATAAATTTTCATTGTCCTAACTATATCAAATCATCATCATCATAAGGTCGTCAGACTGGTTGGACACGCACCTTCATTCTGACTAGACCTTCATGTCTGAGAAGGTGTCCTACCAACCTATCTCGCCTATTTTCCATTGACTTCCATAGAGTCCTCTATTCTATTCTTTCTAATACCTCTTCATTTCTCTAACATTTTCTACCCACGTTATGCTCATTATTCGCCTGTAACACCACATTTCGAACGCTTCTAACCTTTTCTTTTCCGCCGCGCCCACCGTCCATGTTTCGTACCCGTATAATGCCAAACACACCAATACCAAATGCAATTATAAAATTCTTTTATTCCAAGGGCGTTTCAACACAAATATAGAACGAAGCTTTCATTAATGAACATCGGAATTAAATCGGGAATGGAACGGTTCACAATTATTTATAATAAGAAGACTACATGCAGAGGAACATGACCAATTCGCTAGTGGAAACTGTGAATTAGGCGAAAGATAAGTTTCCATTAAATAGTCCACAAATCTAATCACTTTTTCGTTGTATTCTGGAGGCGCCATTTCGTATAGTTCCGAAATATACATATATCGTCATATACTTTTCTTACCAGAGTTTTTAATTTTCAAAACAAAGTGTGTTAACGCATATGTTTTAGACACTGGTTAAAACACAGTCTAAATAAAACATGTTCTATGTTAAAGTGTTTTAAATTGTGTTTAATTGAAAAAAACGTCACATATTAAATATGAAATTCTTTCAGCTGCAATAAAACTAGTTACAAAAGTCACTGGATAAGTTTTCAAAATAATTTCCATCACACTTAGTCATACGCAAGAACGAATCATCAAAAATGTACTTCCAATTTTCTTCAAGGATATCTGAAGCTTGATCCCAAGCAACTAAAAGTTCAGTAACCTCTCTTTCTACTGACCCTTGACGGTTGAAAAAAGTGCAGTTACAGGGATATAGGTCAATGCTAGACGCAAATATTTTAACTCCACTGCTATTGAAAAATTCGATAGTGTCAAACATTTTTTTTGTGTACCAAGAAGTGGTTATAGCACGCTGATTTTCCAAAACTGTTCGTTCCAAAATACCCCGCCATGTAAAAAATACATTATTGACGCTATTTGAAGTAGCATTTTCATACATTTCCAACATTGTTTTTATACCAAATCACTCAGGCTTTCTTTTGTTCAACTTTGAAATAATGCGGTACCCATAGCTTACAAACTTTAATTATGCCAAAGATGACGTAAAAAAATTTTTGTGTACACGTCGTGCACTTATCTGCAGAATCTCCTCTAACTGTTGGTCTGTTATACGTCGATTTTCCTTTAACAATTTTGATACTTTTGCCACGTTTTCTGGGACGGTAGTTTCAACGGCACGCCTGATTTTGGAACGTCATTGAAATAATTATCACGTTCAAACTCGCGATACAGTAGGGTGTTGTGCGATGTGGCCATTTTTCTCTCAAAACAGCTTTTTATTTCTTCCACACGCTCATGTATGGATAGCCTATACAGAAAATTATAACGCGTAACTTATGGACTGACAACATTTGAACTTCAGTTTAAGATGAAAATTTTTTCAACAACCTTCCATTTGTAGACTTATCTAGTGAACTATGTATTTTTTATAGGTATGTATGAAATAAAGAACACATCTCACAGGGTTGGCATATTTAAAAAAGTGTTTTAAAACGCGTATTTTAAACACTGCTTAAAACACCAGTTAATGATGTCAACAGTAAACATAGATAACGTGTTAAGAAATTGAATCCTAGGGTTTTTATTCCCATCCGCCTTTTGAGCCCAGCATTTTAATTAAGGAACCTCATATCATAACTCAAAATGACCTCAATGACTTGGTACGTGATTTAGGTTTCAGTAAAAGACAAGCAGAACTGTTGGCTGCCCGGCTTCATGATTGGAATTTATTGGAAAAATAGTACAAGAATATCAATATACTGAACACGTGACATGCACTTCTTAAAATGGAAATATAGGGAGTTTATTTGGGTGAGACAATGGCTCAGCATTCAACTATTATTATTGGCCAGTCGTTTTTCGAATCTTAGTCTTTCTAATAAGCATATACACTACTTTATGGAAAAAGATCGGAAAGACCTCGTCAGCGCCTTTTTCGGAATCGTGTGAATGAATTGTTAATTGTTGCGAAGAGAAACATGATAAGGCGTATAAAATGAATACAGGAGGGAAGAATTGACAGCATTTGCCTAAATGATGCAAAAAACAGAAAAATTGCATCAAAGAAGACACACTGGAATCGAGCCAGTGTTCTCCCGAATGTCAGTCTGGATATATACTAGGGTCAATTGAAAAGTCCCCGGCCTGACACATAGATGGCGGCACCAGAACTAAATCCATATGATTTTCAGTTAGTCCTAACCTTCAAAAGACGCGTCTATAAATTTGACGGCTGTCGGATCATTAGTTTGTGAATTATAGCATTTTTAGTGAAGCAACTTTTGTTATTGTGAAAAAAATGGATAAAAA